TGCCTAATCCTCTGAAATGTTACATTGTAAATGCTGAAAATAATGCCATAATAAAGAGTGAATTACCAGCATAAATTATTTATTTTTAAAAATAAAAGTCACTTTTTAAATTTATCACATATATGAATTAACTAAAAGAAAATCAAAATTATTTAATCCAAGTCTGAGTTTAGTAGACTCTTAGAAAATATTTTAAATATTCATTTTCAATTATGTTATTGTTTTAGATAAGTTTCTAATTTAATGCCAAAGTAGATAACTGGTCATATCTGCCTATTCAACGCAATGGACAATGAGATTCTATACACACTGACTTCTTGCCCTGGACACTGAAAGCCACTCGCTTGCCTCTCGTTTCTCTATGGAATTGACTTCCGTTCCTTGCAGAAGGGCAAAATGATCTCAGAAATGTTAATTCCCACTTTTTCCCCAGAAATGATTGCTAAAACAGCACCAGGTAGGTGAAGCCAAGAATAACAAGCACATTTACTGCCTACGAAGGAAATGCCAGGGAACCAAAGTGGATTACCCAAATATTCCAACGTGCATCTCTGAGAGTGGGCTCTGCGGGCATGACTGCCCCCCCCACACATACACACACACCGCCCCCTGCCCTGACCCCCAGCGTCACTGGGCGCTGTCTGCAGACATGTTTGCTTCCAGACTGCAGGGGGATGCCCCGGGCCCCAGTGTGTAGACCAAGGAAGCTGCTCGGCCTCCCGTGCACAGGAGGCCCCAGGGAAACAGCGTGGCCCAGGCCCGCGTGTCCACAGAACTGCTGCTGGGAGCCCTGCCGCTGAGGGAGCCTCTACATGGCTTTTGATGGAAGGAGTATACATTCCGGGGTGGGTATATAAGTAGAAACAGAATTGTGGTTCCTGAAGTATGCATATATTTACCTTTACACATACGGCCAAACCATTTTTGCAAAGTAATTGTACCAATTTACACTCCCTAGAGTTGTTCATAAAAGTTTCCTCACTCCCTCTCTTTGCCAACAACTAGGAGTGTCGGTTTTTAATTTTAGCTATTCTGACAGAAATATGGCAGTATCCCACTGTGACCCCAGTGTGTAGTCCTTGCATGACTGCTGATATTGAGCACTTTTGTGTTACATGGACCTTGGTTGTCGCCCTTAAAGAAATGCCAATTAAAAGTGTGCTATTCATTTCTGTTGGTTGTCTTATTTGTTACTGGTTTGTAAGAGCTCTTAATGTACATGTATGTTCTTTGTTGGGTGTGACTATTGCCAACATATTCTTCCACTATGAAACCCATATTATTACTCTCTATGGTGTATTTTGATGAATTAAAGTTCAGATATAAATGATGTCTGGATTTTCTTTATGGTTAGTGCTTTTGGTAGATTCTTTTAGAAATCTTTACCTATGAAAAAAGTCATAAAAATGTTGTCCTATGTTATTATTTTCTAGAATTTTTATTATTTTACTTTTCACATTTGGACCCACAACTAACTTAGAATTGATTTCTGAGTGTAGTGTGAGATAGAGGTAAAGATTCTGTTTGTTCTCATATGTAATTGACACAGGTCTGTGCATTGAGAAGCCCGCACTTTCCCCAGAGTGCTGCAAAGTCCCTTTGCCGTGAATCACGTGACTATTCATGCTGGGCTTTTGGACTTGTACCATTGGTTTTCTTTTGTCTACCCTCTACCAGAACCACACTACAACAGCTTAATAATTAATCTTGAGATTAAGTATCTTATTTAGTTTATACCTCTGATAACCCAAATTTTATCACTGATGGACAAAAATTAATTGCAATTTCATTTCCTTCCTCTTCTAAGAGTAATTTCAATAATGGTTTTGTCAACACATTTGAGGTTCTCAATGACATTGAATAACAAAAGTCAAATACATTGCCAGTGTCTGCATATACTAGTATTAGGCACTCAAGGAAAGCAGTATAGTGTGTCAATAGCAGTAAACATATGGACAATAATTATGTTAAGGGATATTCACTAAACTACATAAAAGATTCAATTCTCAATTCTCAAAGCATACTTTAATATTAACTCTTATTCTCTTAAAACCTCATTTTAACCTATCATATGTACATGTTACTTAAAATCACACAATGCATACACAGAGATATGTTGCTGATAAAATGACTAATTGAACTCTGAGTTTTCTAGTGGAGATCATGTTTTGGAGAGTCACATATGTACGGTAGAACACAATGCTAAGGGCATGAGATCGGGTGTTTGAATCTCAGCTTCTCCACTTGCTATGAGTGTGACCTTCGAGGATCATATCCCCATGTGGAATATGAAGATTGCGCCATAGCTGGTTTGCTTCAGTGGATAGAGCATCGGCCTATGGACTGAAGGGTCCCGGGTTCGATTCCGGTCAAGGGCACATGCTCAGGTTGTGGGCTCGATCCCCAGTAGGGGGCATGCAGAAGGCAGCCGATCAATGATTCTCTCTCATCATTGATGTTTCTATCTCTCTCTCCCTCTCCCCTCTTCTCTGAAATCAATAAAAATAGAATTATAAAAGAAAAAAGAAATATGAAGACTGCTGTAACAGTTACATGAGTTACTCTGAAATAAGGTAGGTAAGTAGCCCAGAGATTTTTTTTATGCTAAATTTTTAATAAGTGTAGATAATGATATTAAAACCTCAAGCCTATAAAATGTAGATAATAAAATATATCTTATAAAGCTACTGTGTTAATACTTGTAAAACACGTAGGAAGAAAGCTGGTACACTAAGAATTCACCTGTCTCTGATAATTTAATTTAAATAAATAGCAAAGGAGGGACATTTTTATGACTTTATGACATTTACTGAAGGATTCCTATGTCAGACTGTCCGAGGCATCCTGGTTGTAAACAAGGTCTCTCCTTCCATTGAGTTTACAGGTTAGAAATTATATAAATTTATTTTGAGGATGGAGAATATTAATTACAAGATTCTTAAAGTTGTTCTTTCCATGGAATGTGTGAGTTTTCAGGCATACCTGTTTGGTGTATTGCAATTAATTCCAGATGCACTTGTGTCTAAAAGATTCCAGGTTATGTATTAAAGGGGCAAGAAGTGGAATTGTAACTTGTTGCTATGAAACTATGTTGAGTAAAAAAACAAAGTTGAATTATTTAACCAGAAGTACTGTTGTCTGAAACACAAAAATTCCAGTTTGTATTTTTACTAGCCCTTGAGCTGTAAGCTTTCTCTTTATAATTAACACCTATTACAGAATTTATTTCAAAGTTAGCAAAAGCATAAATCCTATATGTGCTTTTATTTTAAATTCATGTACTGGTTGTATATGTTACTGATTTTGGAACACAAGTGCAGTCTGGGAGGGGTGTGTGTGTGTGTGTGTGTGTGTGTGTGTGTTGAATTATGGAGTATCCTGCGGCTATTGGAATAACTCTATAAACAAGGATACTTGTTTACACTCAGTAAACAAGTAAACTAGAGAACGATGAAAGGTTAGCACCTTATCTGACCCACCACAAGGAATTGGCAAGTGTTTCTTGGGGCAGAATTGCTTGCTAGCTTTGGGGAAAGCACAGACACTCCCTCCTCAAACCCCTGACCCTGGACCCCTAACTGTTTACTTTAGGAACAACTCTGCTCAACCAGACAAAGGCCCAAAGAGCAGACTTCCTTTGGCATTTTACCAAGTATCAGGATGGTTTTTCTTTAACGTTGTTCTCTGCCAGTTCATTTGCTCTATGCCAATATGTTCCCTCGCTGATTTCACATCATCTCCGTCCTCCATCCCTCATCTCTGCATTCGCTGGATAAACCTGACTCATCCGCCATGAAGAAAATAGAAGATGTTGGAGGGCAACTCACTTATACACACACACTCTCCCAATCTGTCTTCCTCCCTCAGGGAAAACTAGTAAAATACTTCCTCTCATCCTCTCCAAACCTGGAAACTCCATAGGGGCTGTGTCCTTTCTGTTCTGTGTAGAGAAACTCGCTAATACTTTACCTTATTCTTTTTTAAAATATATTTTTATTGATTTCAGAGAGGAAAGGGGAGAGTGGGGAGGGGGAGGGAGAGAGAGAGAGAGAGAGAGAGAGAGAGAGACATCAATGATGAGAGTCATTGATCAGCTGCCTCCTGCACACCCCACACTGGGGATCGACCCCACAACCTGGGCATGTGCCCTGACCAGGATTCAAACCGTGACCTCCCTGTTCATAGGTCAACACTCAAGAACTGATCCACACCAGCTGGACTCTTTTACTTATCCCTTCTCTCTCTCTCCCTCTCCTTCTCCCTCTCCCTCCCTCTCTCTCCCTACCCCAATTTTAGTATTCCTATTAGCATACAGACCTGCTGTTCTCTCAAATTAAAAAATACGAACATGTGAGCCCACACCCCTCCTGAGCGCCACCATCTCTGCCCCTCCGTAGCTTCGTGGTCTGGGGCACTCTCTGTATCTGCCGTTCCTCATGCCCCAGTCGCTTGTCCGCACTCTGGAACTTTGTGTCCACTGTTCCAGGAGAACCAGGTCTCACAAGTCCCCTGGAAGCTACTCTTGGCCCCACCGCCCTTCCTTCTGTCCTGTGACCACCTTCCTGTCACTGCATCACAGCCAGGGGCTCTCTGTCCCCGGCACCACACTTTCTGCTTTCTCTAGAGTGGCCGCATACTCAGTAACCTTTGCCGACTTTCCTTTGCAGAGTCCTCATGTTGGAGCTCTCAGTGGCCAGAAATCGTCACCCTCACATCCTTCCTGTGCCCCTTCAGGGGACCGTCATCATTCCCTTTGCAAGGAGGGGCTGCATCTGAGGACTGACACTCCAGCTCGCACATCCAGGCCGCCTTCTCCTCCAAGGAACTGGGTTAGTCCTCAAGGTCCCGTTGCTAACACATCCGAACTGGGATTCACGAACTTCCTCTCCAGATCCATCACCTCCTCAGCTCGTCCTGCTTCGTTAACTAAAGCTCTGGGAATTCCACCCCTTTTACTTCGTTTCTAAAGAAGATCCACCAACACATGCTGAGGATCTCACCTCGAAAATACAGCCGTTGTCTCCAGGTGCACCCCTAACCTGGCTGGAGCCTTTGCCACCTCCGGCCTCATTCACTGCATCCCCTTCACACCCTGTCTTCTCGGGGGCCCTCTGACCCTCCATGGGACAGAGGATTTGGGGGGACACTCGCTCAATGGTGCCACTTTCCCATGGAATCTGCTCAGTGGCTTCAGATGGTGTGGCTCCAGCCCACAGCATCCCGCCAGCACTCACAGGGCCCGGGGTCTCCGAGGCTGTCAGCCCTCTGGGAGAATCATGTTGTCCTGCACAACACGTGGTGGTGAAGTTCCCACGGAAACGCCAGGACTCCCTGCCTTTCTAGCCACTCCGCCCTGGGGACCTCAGCCTCCTGCTCTGTTTTAGCCGCTCCCCTGGCTTTCTTTTCATGCCATTTGGGCACTGCACACACCAACTTACTGACTCCAGCTCACTCCCCACAGGCCCGCTTTGCTGCCTTCTGTATGCTGTTCTATGGCAGGTCTGGCCCCGCTAAGCTGAAGGGATAAAGCTGAGCGCAGAAGGGGGAGCCACAGTATCCTGTCATTTTCCATGTCATGGAATAACTCTAGAAAGAACACTTTCCTAAAACCAAAGGGAAACATGAGAAGAAGAAAAAAGTTAAAGGTAATTTCACTCAAATTTGATTAAAATTGCCAAAAAGTAACTATTGATAATGATGTGCTTGTTTTCTTAAGGCAACTAAGGTTTCCTTTAAGAAGCTGTTCCCTGTTTAGTCTGAATCAAGAAATAAGGAAATAGACACAATTTTCTTTTTAAAAATAACATTCTAAGAGACAGTATAATACTTGCATTTTAACTAGCTATTTTATCGTATTAATATTTAAACTCTTTGACTAGGTGAAGTCAATAGCAGATATTGTAAACATAGAAAACTCACATCTCTTTAATCTGAAAATTTTTCTCCATTTTATTTTCACAATAAAGATATGGATAGTCAGCTTTTAAAAAAAGATTTTAAAATCCTATCTTTAAAGAAAATAGAATGCAAGAAAGACAGGAAAGAAGGAAGGATAGAAAGAAGGAAGGAGGGAGGAAGGAAGGGAGGAAGGAAGGAAGGAAGGAAGGAAGGAAGGAAGGAAGGAAGGCCTCATGGAAAGTAACAAAAGAAGTGATTATTCCTGCCAAGACAAATTAACATGGAATTAATGAAGATCCCCTGCATTTTGTGTTTTAAGTGAAACAATTTTAAACATGTACTTGCATTTTACTTCCTTTCTGTAAGGCATGGTGCATGAAAGCATTGGCCTCAGAACTATATTCTGGAGCAATAGTTTGGGGTGTGAAAAGGAAAGACCGCTCCCTTGCAAGTGAAACAGTACACCTCCAGCTCCTCCACAAGAGCTGCACAGGGCTGCGAGCTCTGTGAGGGAGAGCCCTGGCTCCCACCTCTTCCTCAGACTCCGCAATCTGAAGTCCGGGCCCTGGAGAGTCGCCTTCCTGGGTGCATGCCTGTGTCTGCAGGACGCAGGGCCTTACTGGACTGTCACGGACCCTCCTTGGCCCGAACCTCTTATCAGGTACAAAATAACAGTTTATGCTTATTTTGGAATGTCTGGGAAATATTTGTGGTAGGGACACGCAAATAAAAGTAAAAGTTAGTTCCAAATAACTCCTGAAAAAAACTTGTATTAAAAAAAGAAGTTACTCAAGAGTAAATAATAGAGCCTCGTGATAAAATAAATAACAAATACATATTTACCCACAAATTTAGGTGTGCCATACCTCCCTTAAGGTGAAGGGTGGAGAAGTGTGTATTCGGACTGAGAGGAGGTAGAGAAGAATGAGTAGGTGCGGGTAGGACAATAAAAGGAGGGATAAGAGAAGGGATACAGGCCGGATCCTTGTTTCCTACAACAATAAGCCAATGGATTAAATCTAAATGTAAGAAAGTCAAGAAAGTACCAAAATTATAATATGAGGGTAATTACAAAAAGTGACCATTAAATGACTAGAAAAAGGTTGTCCCTGGAACCCAGAACTTAAGGGCAGGAAAGGCTGTGGTGGGACAGCTTTGCCATCAGCAACCCTGTAATACTATTATACTGTTAACTATTCTCATGTATCATTTAATTACACATGATCTAATCTTCAACAATTCAATAATTTGGTTGACATGCATAACCAAATATTTTCACATGTGTAACTGCACTATAGTAGGAAAATTTTGACATCTTCCATAATTAAGACCGGACTCTTTAAACAACTTATCTCCCCATTCCCAACATGCATCTGTGGCAAACAATTCTCACTGTCCACATGTGTAACTAGCTTCTTTATTTTATTTTAAGATGATGCAATCTCTTTTATTTTTAAATTAAATTTATTGCTCTAGCCAGTTTGGCTCAGTGGATAGAGCATTGGTTGGCCTGCAGACCAAAGGGTCCCAGGTTCAATTCCAGAGAAGGGCATGTACCTCGGTTGCAGGCTCCTCCCTGGCCTGGGCCCTGGTTGGGGCCCTGGTAAGAGGCAACCAATTGATGTGTTTCACTCACATTGATATTTCTCTGTCTTTCCCTCTCTCTTCCACTCTCCCTAAAAATCAATGGAAAAATATCCTTGGGTGAGGATTTAAAAAAATTTATTCCCCAATAAATTGTTTAATAAGAGCACATACATTTCAATTGTATATTTCCAGAATACATCTCTATAAATTGCACGGTGTGTGTACTACCAGATACGAGCAATCTCTGTCTCTCTCTCCGCTAATGACTTCATTCCTCTTCTCATCCATCAAAATGATTCCCCTTGCTCGAGGCTGTGTTTACACAGTCATTTCCGCTTGAATTTTTCTTTGGTCGTTTAAGTCATATTTTGAATTTCATATCGAGGCCCTTGATTATTCACTCTTTCAGGAAGTGGCAGTTTCCATCATCATGAGTCAACGGGTCCTCTTCTGTGTGAGAGACTGTTGTGTGTGTGGACATGGAGACTGTAAACAAGCTTGAGGGCTATACACAAGAATTTCTAAAACAAACATAATGTTTATATTTTTTCAAACTAAAGTCAACTACCTCGATGGGTTACAAAGCCTCATGTGAAGGCAGCATTAGCTAACTGCTTTTGGGAAAACTGCGTGAAAGGAATTTGTAAAAAATTGTGAAAGCCAAGTGGGAGAAACCGAAAAGCAAAAGTATTTGAAAAGAAAACGTTTAGAATGAATATGCCTGTCTGTATGCATAGATACATATTCATTACAAATTACATATTCATGCTCTTTCAGGTACAAATGAAAACGTCTCCTGTTCTTTCCTTCCCTTCAGATACTGCTCAGACTTTCTTGTATGTAGCATTTTTATCCATATTTAATGGTATATGATACATACCATCCGGTACCTCCCTTAGGTGTAACGTAAGATGGCTTTGCAGTCTTGTTACGTTACCACGGCAAGAACAGTGTTTGAGTATGTTTTTATTTCAACAACTTAAAGTTTGACTGTTCAGAATAACTTTTGTCCATTTTTGTATGTAAAAAGATAGTCTTCTAACTCACAGTTGACCCAGTTCTATTTTTTACATGTTACAGAACAGGAAAGAACTTCTGGCCCTTTAAATACAGTTCTTCCTGTAGTGGTAACCCCCAACCATAAAGTTATTTTCGTTGCTACCTCATAACTATAATTTTGCTACTGTTAGGAATCACGATGTAAGTATCTGATATGCAGGATGGCCTGATATGCAGAATGACCCCTGTGAAAGGGTCATTCGACCGCCAAAGGGGTCGCGACCCACAGGTTGAGAACTGCTGCCAGGTTTGGCTCTGCTGAACGGATGCAGGCTGAAGGGTGACACGCTGAGCTGAACACTGCCAGGTTTAACCTTAGAGGACCTAAGGCTGACCCACCAGTGTGAGGGGACACTGGCCACGCAGCAGCACGCTCACTGCTGCAGACAGGTTCCACACGGTCAGCATCACCTTTGGAAAGGACTAGGGAACTGTTTCAATGAGGTACTTAAAATCCTTTCTCATAGTCTTCTGAGATCTATCTGATGGAAACTGGCTCATTTAAATACCTCCTACAATGTCTGAAATAGCAAAGGCTTTGGAAACTAATTGGCCTCAAATGAGATAGATGGACCTGCTCATTCACATGTGGATTCATGTCCATGGTTTCCTGCTAGAAAAAAAGGCATCAGCTCCACCTTGGACCATCGTCCATCTCCATGGAAACTCATGCCTTAATTTTTGTAAGCAGAGAATTCTGTCAGGGCTCCAGGCCTGAAAATTATTTCTTGAATAAGAAGGGAAATATGGGAATAATTTGCACCGAAATCACTCACACAAAAATAAAAGGCTGCTTGCTTTGGACGATGATAGCTCTGGATGTCATTATTTGTTAAGGTTCACCCGTATTTCATTATATGGTGACCACACTGCGTGCTGCTTTCTCTTGATTTGTAACATTACATAACTCCTCGTCTGCCTATGCACTCAATATAGAAGGCGAGAGTGTAGTTTGTAGATCTGGCCTCCAAGGTAAAAACTCAGTGGCATGCACATTACTTAGTCTCTTCGTGCTGCGATTGATTCTACTGTAAAGAAGGTATAATAAACCCACCTGCCTCATACAGTCCTGTGATGTTTCTAAGAGATAATGTATGCACAGAATTCAGTACAACTCCTGGTGGACATAATGAATACTTCATAGGCATGAAAATATCTTCCCCGAGGCTCCAAGAAAAGCATGCATTTATTATTACTTTTATTTTTCAATTATTGTTTCCTTTCAATATTATTTTGCATTGGTTTCAGGTGTGCAGCCTAGTGGATAGATGCCTACATAGCGTATGAAGTGATTCCCTCCGATAATTCTCGGACCCACCTGGCACCACACATCGTTATGGCCATCTTACTGACTGTATTCCCTGTGCTGCACTTCACACCCTCAGGACTGCTTTCTAACTGCCAATCTGTGCTTCCTCTTCCTCCCCTTCTCCAGCCGGGTCCCCGACCCTCTCCCCTTCAATCCTCTCTCTGTGTGTCTGAAGTTAAATTTGTACACATACGAGGAATGAAAGACTCTATCATCATGTCAGTGAGAATATCTTTTGTGATTTTTAAAATGTTTCTTTTTTTAAAAAAATAAGCATTTCATAATTGCTCCAATGTTTCTCATGTTTCTAAATACGGTACTGTTCACCAAATTAGAAACAATTCTTAGTTAAACACAGAGAGATAG